CTGGAAGAGAAGGAAAAGGAAAAAGAAATATAATTTCAAACGAGAATTTTGGCAATATTCCTGTATTGAAAGAAGAAATATTTTGGTTTATTCATAAAAAATTAGATTTAGAACTCTGTTCAAAAAAGGTAGATAGTTTAGAAAAAGAAAATTGCCAATGTGATGTAGTAAAAAATTTGTTTATTTTGAAACCATCTTGTGATAGTTTCCTAGGCTAGCTTGGTATAGCCCTTCAGTATAGGCAATAGCCTTAACCAGTAAGGCAGACCGCACTTGGGCACCCTTAGTAGCAGCTAAGTAATATCAGATCTGTAACTTAGATAGTTTAATTGTACCTTGTGCAAATGCTTTGATCTAATAAAAATATTAGCAAGACTGCCAATACATGCAAAAAAAAAAAGATTTTGTATTATTAAAAGAGTCATTTTTAATAAAATATGTTTAAGTAAAAATTTTTATTGATAACTATTCTAACCAATTAGAATACCAGATTTTTGCAGATTATATTTTACTTTTTAAATGTTAAATTAAAAATTTTATCGTTAATACTGTACCAATATCATCAGATAATCAAAATGCAATTTTTTGTTTTCTTTGCGAGAAATATTTTAAAACACCAGGTGGTCTAGCACAGCATAATACTATTATTAGAAAGTATAATAAAACTCCTAATAATATTAAGCAAATTCTAAAACAAGTACTAAATGAATTTAAACAAACATTAGTTTTTCTTATTCATCAAAAACTTTCTAATAATTTTAATCATATAAGATGCCAGAGTTTTCATATTCCTTGTACAGAAAGTTTTTTTTTGGACTATTTAAAGGGTATATTCATTATTTTAAGACAAATATATATAAATGTATTTGTCGAGGTTCAAAAGCATATCAAACTTTAGCTAAAATTTTTGGTTCTAATAAATGGAAATGAAAATTTTATAAACAAAATCAACAAATCTATATGGTAATCCAAGAAAATTTTCAATCAAATACACCTCTGATGCAAGAATCAATGCAAGAACTTGAAATGGATATTGATCCACTTTTGCAATTAGTAAAAAAATCTCAAAAATACTGTAAATCAAAATTTACCTATGGAGAGGTTTTAATAGAATAGCATTATAAAAAAATGACTGAGGAGAATAGAACTGTTTGTATAGCAGGATTTATTTATATATATTTTTATATTGAGCAAAAAAGAATTTTGATGTAAATAAATATGTTTCATTGCAAATTATACAAATAAAAAAATATTTATATTGATAATTCAGTAAATATGTAAATTTATATTTTACTAACAATTACGCGGAAAAATTCTTTCTATAAATCGCTATTTAAAAAATAATATCAGGGATAGTAAAGCATTGTAGTTTTATATATCTGACTTAGAAATTATAAGCGTCTCATTTATTTGCTTTCATAGTTCCAAACCTATGCTTTTAATTTTCCTTGATAAATCAAGATATTATTTGAATACCTATATTCTTAAGTATAATAATTATAAAATCTAGTAAAATATATATAGTATTTACAAGATTCTAAATAATAACATTATCATGTAATTAAAAATCTGAGTACTACGTTCTTAGTAATATGTAGCTTTTATGTTTATTAAAAATTTTTTTAAATATTCTCATAAATTTCTATTATCAGTATATTGTAAAACCATCCTATATCCACATGCAAATAAATACTTATGCTTTTAAAAAAATTAAAATTTCTTGTTTATCTTTAGCAACTCTATAGAATCCAATAATATCTTACTTTTCATAATAACTTATGATTACAGAAATATGTAGTAGTTCAGACTTGAATATAACAAATACCTTGTTAATAAAATCTTCAAATTGATTTCATCAAATTTGTTATAACGCTAATGCTAATTTTAATAAACAACATACTATATAGAAACACAACCAATAGTTAGATATCTAAAAGAAAAGATGTCAAGAAACATGTAGAAGTTAGCAAATTAGTTCATGGCTTTATATTGAAAATGATTACTAACATTTTTATTTTTACTTATGATTATTAAATGTCTAGTACCAGCTTTTTGAAGTGTTATATCAGTTTGCATATTTGTCATTACTAGTACCAAGTAGGTGAAAAGTCTTTAAACAGTACCATATTTTTTTTAATAACTAAGAACATCATTCTGGTATTTATAGTTAGTAATCATTGCAATATTTTTGTAAATTGTATGTATAAATCTTAGTATAGATAGTAAAAAGAGGATTGTTTAGAGACTTTTCCTATCTGGTATAAAAATAAATAAAATTAAATATCAGCAGAGATAGAAAAAAGTCCTGTTTAGGGTCCTGTTTAAAAACTTTTTACTCACCTGGTATATATTTATTTGTGCTTATGTTTGAGATGCCAATGTTCTTTTCTTTGTTTAATTGTATATAATTAAAATAGATTAATTAATTTATAGTATTAATTTAAGCAATAGTCATAATAAATATAATTTGATTTACTTCTTTTAAAAAATCTAACGAATAAGATGAACTAGGTGAAGCTTTGATATCACTTCACACAATCATATATATAACTATGCATTTCTTTTTATATCCAAAATAAATTATGTGTCTAACTACATTGCAGCAACAAACATCTCACTAATTTTTTAAATGTTATTTAATCTGTTAAAAATGATCTATCCAATATCTTATAATTTGAAATTTTATTTGCTCTTGCACAATCCATAATCTTTAAATAACAATTATATAAGGATTCTTATTAGCATGTATATTAAAACAAATTCATATTTCCAATTTGACTACTTCAAATAGAGACTAGATTTTGGTTTTTGAAAAGTATATTGCATATAGATATAACTGAATTTATCTATCAAATTTCTAAAAAATTAAAAAAAAAAGGTTAATATTTTTAATTATCTAGTTATAAGCTATCATCTTATTGTTGACTATTGCTTATGGTATCTCTTAAAAATAATACTATCTATAATTAAAACTTGGGTATTACTCACTACCCTATTGACTTGTTTCTTGAATAAGATCCAAGATACGACTGTATTGATTTACTGCTTTTAATATATCCCCAAGTATTGTATTTGGTTCTTCACAAAGTATCTACAAGTACTATAAATTGAGTTTTTGAATAAAATCTTAAATGCTGAAAGCAGAGATCAATGATAAATTTTATATTTTCTCTAATAGTTCAACTGAATAAGCATAAGCTTACCAAATTATTATTCTAGATGACAAGTAGATAGTTGAAGCTCTATTCAAATAAAAACTGCTATAACTTAACTCAAAGATGCTTTGTAAATTATTGTTGTCTAAACTACCTTTATACAAGTATAAGCTCTAGGTAGTGTACATCTATCAGTGAATAATATAGATCTGGTAACAGTAAGGTAGATTTTTTTTTAAAAACTAAGTAGTTGCCCTAGTAGTTGTTAAGGTGTTAAGTTAATCTGTATGAATGTGAAGTACCCCAAAGTGCCACTGTCAAGTTAGATTATTAAAAAAATTTTAATAAAGATCTTATAGTTTCACAAGCCTTTTATAATCATCTTATGTATTTATTAATTTTTTCTTATGATTAAAATTCAAAGTAAAAAATTTTCTAATTTAAGAAACTTAGTTAACATATTCTAAGTTTTTTGTTTTGACTAAATGAAGGCTAAATATTGTTGTAAATATAATAAAGAATACGATTTTGAAGGCTGAATATTGTTGTAAATATAATGAAGAATACAATTTTCATATTCCAAAATTTCAATCACAGATGCTTTGAGATGTGAAGAATTTCCACCATTTTTTAATGTTTTGTAAAAAAATAAAGAAGCCTGATCATGATTTTTACGTTCTATAGCTTCATATGAAAATGCTTTAATTCTCTACCTTTGATGCTTTTGTATTAACTCCTATCTATAGTATATGAAAATATGCATGTATGGTATTATATAACTTGGAAGATATAAACCATTAGTAGTATTATTTGGATCAATTAAAGTATCTTGAGAAGGTGTTAAAAATAAGTTTAACCAAGAAAGTGCATCTTTTTTAATTGAAAAGGATTAGTTTCTTGATTATGAAATGCTTGATATAAAATGTTAAATTGATTCTATAATTGGTGAATAAGCTTTGCACGGCTAGGACGAAATAAAATACTGAGATTAAACAATTGTAAAACTTTTAACTTGTCTTTTCCTATTAGAGAAGTATAATTTTAAATATATGACTCATGATCTTCCCAAAATTAAAAAGTTATGTCAATTCTTTTCATTTCATCAATAATAATTTTTCTAGTTATATCATTAAACAATCCATGTGATCTAATTTTTGCAATTATTAAAATCCAAAGCCAATCAAATATCTGAAACAAAATATGGAGTTCATCACAAACCCAATTTTTAAGCAGAATCATATCAAATAAAGAAGCATTAATATGGCCATTTGTATTTTTCCAATTTAATCTAAGCTGATTCATCATTTTAGTAATTCTCTAATCCGCTTGTATATTTTCATGTTGATTTTTGTTAATATTATACCAAGGACAAAAATAAGTAGAATTAGCAGCATTTAGACCAAGGCATATTAAAAGAAACTTTAAATCAGCACTAAAATAAAACTCAAAGTTTCAATATTTTGTTCCTATTTGTATTCTATTTTTTTTAAAAAACCATAAATCCTCTAATAAAGTATTTAATATAAACTTTAATGTTTTGTACTTTTCAGCTCCCGGATATAGGAATTTACTTATTTGCACAGGTAATACAAACCAAAAAAGGAAAAAACAAAACATATCTTTTTTTATTAGCACAAATAACGTGTGAGAGTCATGATGTTAAGGTTAGAAGTAAGGTGTAGTATATATACTAAAATTTTGCAAGAAATTTTTTTTATTAGAATATTAAAGGTGATTTCTTAGGCAGAATTTTGAGTTACTAGCTATTTTTTGAAAAAGCCTTCATTTTTAATGGTTATACCTGATCTTGCGATCTACATAAAAATTTTTCTTATTTAGTTTGTATCACTTGTTCAAATAAGTATATGCTAGATATAGTACTGTTGTATAATGAAAATTAAGATTATATTGGTGTTTAATACCATTCAAAATCATTATTATGATTATTATATGCTTAGTTTTACATCCGACATTATGACCATTTTCTGAAATTCTTAAATGAACAATTGAATCACTATATTTTAAATTTTCATTTTGTTCTAAATATGGTATAATATAATTAAATAGATCTTTAATACTACGTTGTACACTAATTTTAGCTATATTAATTGTTTCTTGTTCAATTTCAGGATCTATATTTTCTACATTAATAGAGTCTACTTCCAAAAAATCAAGACTTACTTGTATAATTTTTATATTAGCTTCCATTTAGCTAGTCAATAATGCATGTTCATTAGATATTGTATATTCATATAGAATTGTAGAATTAACTGCAGTTATTTGTTGATAACCTTCTTGTAAAATCTTTTTTTGAATAATAATTTTGTGACTCAGATTTTAATAACTCAAAAGCTCGATTTCCAAATTTTTTTGCCCATTTAAGAATTGTAGAATTACTACAATTGTCAATAGGTTTTAACTCTCTATGTTTTGCTTCATGTGCTTTTTTTACTGACTCAAGTTGTAATTCAAATATTAGAGTTCCTAACTATGTAGTTTTAGAATTTGGATTTATAGCCTATAATACTGTATATATTAAATTTTTTTTAATAAAAAAAATAATTTATATTAATATAATTTGTTATACCTTTTTCTATTTATTAGCAGCTGAACTTGAGGAAGTCGAACTTATTTTATATTTAAAATCTTCACCATAAAAAATATAAAAAACAGGGTAGCTGTTTTCATAATTTATAGAACAATGAATTGTTTTTTGTTTTGTCCTATAATAGTTTTTATACTATATTAATCTGGAATTCTGTATTGTTTTCTTTTAGAAGTAGATGTATAAGCTGATAGTGAATCATTAAAATATACACATTTTTTAATAATTTCATAACAAAAACTACATTGTATAATACTATTTCTCTTTTTTTTATACACAATGATAGGATTTAACAGATATGAAGAATCTTCTTCAATTTTAAGGTTCATTATTAAAATATAAAGAACCTGAGCTAAAGTATAAATTTATTTGATCTTAATAAGTTTGGCACGTTGTATTATTTTGATCACTGCATGTTATTATTATACATATTTTTTAAAAAGTAAAATATAATTAAAAA